TTTCCGATACTCTCGACAGTGCGCGCGTCCAGGGCGCGCCTAGCGGCCGCCGACGCGCTAGCCGACGGCTGCCGAAGTTCAACCTGCCCGCACAGGCCAACTCACCCCGCCAGCTCCGCGCCTGACACCGAAACCCCAGGACACGGCACTGCCGGGGCAAGCCGTCCCTCGCCTTCATCTGGCCGCCAGGCGCCCATCCGCGCCCAGCCCTGGCTTTGCCCCCCCTAGCGCGGCGCCCTCGCCGCCGACGCTCCTCCTCCGCCGCCGAGGGCAACCCGCCGCGCATGCCGCCCCGAGCCTCACCTCGTCGCCTCCGCCGCCGAGGGCGGCCAGCCTCGCAGTCCGCCCCCTCCACCTCGCCTCGCCCCCCTCTGGGCGCCCTGCCCTGCATTGCCGCATGGGGCCTGGCGCGCCCTCCACGCCTCGGCCTGGGCCTCCCCGCCCCCCGTCAGCGCCAGGCCCTGCCCTCCGTTGTGACGCCGCTGCCTCAGCTCGGCCGCCGGCCTCCCTCGCCGGCCGCCTCCGCCTGCGCCTCCCTCGCTCGCCCGCCGGGCGCGAAGCGGCAGTCCACGTCCACTCCGCAGGCCTTGACGACCTCCCGGAGCGGCTTCAGCGGCAGCGCGCCCCCATCGGCGGCCCCCCCCCTCACCCTGGGGCTCCTCCCTCTGGGCGCGCCAGCCTCTCGGGCTCCTCCCCCTGCCCTTCCTGGCTGGCCTCCTGCTCCTGCCGCAGGGCCGCGGAGACCCCGTCGAGATAGTCGCGCCTGCAGGCCCCCGTCGACGGCAGCGCGTGGAGCCCCTTCTTCCGCCTCCTCAGCTGCGCCTTGCAGCCCTCGCCCTCTTCCTCGGCACTCCTGGACCAGGAGCTCCCTCCGCCTCCTCTTGACCCGCAGGTGGCTTTGGGCGCCCGACGCTCCGCGCCTCCTTCCCGCCTGCCAGCCCTCTCTCGCCGTTCTCGCTGACGGTCTCGCCGGAGTGGTGGTCCATCCATCCGTCGATGGGCCTGCGCTCCTCGCCTCCTGGCACCTCGCCAACTGCCTCGCTGCTCCTGCGCTGGCTCGCCTTCGCCACCTCCGCCCTCTTGGCCTCCTCGATGGCCTCGCTCAGGTCTGCAGGCATCTGCTCCAGCTCGAGCATCGTCTCGCTCGGGATCCCCTTCGCATCTGGCGCCTGCGCCTGCCACCAGACCGTCGACTGGCCGATCCACCTCGCCGTCTGCTCCGCCACGGAGTTGGCGCCCTCGGCCGCCAGCCCGCTCTCGGGCCAGCGAGCCCAAGCAGCCGCGCTCACCTTGGCGTTGTAGTCCGCCTTCTTGTCGCCTTCCCTCGCCCACCTCTCGGTCTCCGTCGCGCATTCTGATCTGGACATGTGCGCCTTCACTGTCGTCGCCCTCGTGTCGCCCTGGCCTCCGGGCTCGCTCCGCCACCGCTTCCATATGTGCCTCCTCTCCGCTCCTTTCGCCAGCGCCTTGCCGATGTCCGTGGCCTGTCGGATCGAGCCCATGCAGTCGCTGCATACTTCCAGCGGCGTTACTGAGCAGCTCGATAGGACGTGAAACGCGAGATCCTCGCCGTCCCTCGCCAGTTGCAGCGGCCCCCACGCCAGTGGGACCGTGCCGCACGCCGCCCCGAGCTGCTGACCCGCCTCGCCGTACTGCGCGACGGCCCAGCCTGCCCTCCTGAGGATCTCTCTCCTTCGTGGGGTCGGAGACGGACCCGCCCACGAAGGCCCTCCCCTGGAAGTAGCCGTTCAGCGGCCGCTTGACCCTGTTCACCACCTCCAGGTCTGGCCTCACGCGTGGAGCCATCCAGGCCTGCGTCGCCCCTGGAAATCGGCCCGTGACTTACCCCTTACCTGTCTCCTCCTCTTGCCGCCATCCTCGCCGCAAGCCTCACTGGCTCGGGGCACGCGACTCTCCTGAAGGTCAGCGTTGCGTCGTCGCAGCCGGAGTGGTGGTGCCACAGCGCCCCCTTCATGCCTCCTGCGCCTCCTGCAGCTGTCCGTTCTGGCCAGGCCTCGGTCGCACAGCCTCGCTTGCCGCTCGCGTCCACGTTGAGCCTGCTGCCGCGCACCGCAGCGCCCTCTTGTGCTTGATGAACCGCGTCTCGGGCTCGGCCTCTGCCGTGAGCTGCTCGAAGTGCCTCAAGCGCACCAGGCCCCCCCACGCTGACCGCTTGCCCAGGCTGGGCAACGCGCGGGCATCCTCCGTCCACCTCGCCGCCCTACCGACCAGGTCGGCGAGCCCGTCGACGTCTGCAGCTCGAGCGCCGACGGCATCGTTATCCCCGCTCTGGCCGTCGCGGGCCTCATCGCGCTCGCTGGGCTGACTGCACCAGCCCAGGGCCTCCTCCTGCTTAGTAACATTCTATCGGCCGCCCTCCCGCAGCTCTCCATGCCGACCCTGGGGGGGCGCCCTTGTGGGCTCCACCGCGCACGTCGCCCGCGCTCTGGCGCCTTGCGCTGCCACGAGGACTCCCGGGTCGCGCAGGCCTCCCCATCGCGACGCTCTGAGCAGCAGGTGCGCCGCCGCTCCTCTCGGCAGTCTGCCCTCAGCCTCAGTCGCCTGCGAAGCTGCTGCAGCTTGAGGTCAGCGACCCCCGTTGCACCTGCCCCCCAGATCGCGGTCGCTGTCGGGCTGCTCCTCTGCAAGCGGCCGCTCGCCTCGGCTCCCGCAGCCCTCAGCCAAGCGCCCGTCCTGCTACCTTCGCCGCTCTGGCCAGCCTCTCGTCTTGCTCGCCTGTACTCCTCCACCTTCCGTCGTTCGCGTCGCAGCAGAGGTCCCTTGCGCTTGCCGCCCCCTCTAGAGCGATGCCCGACTCCGCGAACGTGAGCTGCGAGATCCTGGCCCTCTCCTCGTCGCCCGCCATGACCCTGGTCTTGTGCCACGCCGCCTCCTAGTCCTTCGCCTCAGCCTCAGCATCGCCTTTTCTTTGACATGCGCCCTGAGCCCAAGCCTCAGCTCAGGTTGACGAAAGAACAACCTAGTACCCGTTCTTGCGGGTCAGTCTGATCTTCCTGAAGATTGCTCGCCTGGCGCGAGACACTTCGCAAAACACGCCAGTGAGCCTGGGATGTTTACCCTGACGGAGGGTCCTCAAACTTGTGGACGCTTATTTACTCGGCGTGGACCCTTCGCGTTCAGGCTTACAAACCTTGCGAATCTTCTTGAAACGGCCGCCACAGCTGCACCCGCAGCACAAGTGGCAAGACTATAGCATGCTTGAATTGGAACTCATCATGAAACTGCTCCGCAGGAGGGGGGGGAGTGACCACTTCTCTGCTAGGAGCTATATATGTACTCGACCCCGTCGAGGTCGAGCTTGGGCCAGGCTGGCAAGATCATGGCTGCGAGGTGCGAAACATTCTTGGCAACCTTGAGCTGCAAATCCACACTGTTAAGCTCATGCTCCGACCCGCAGGGGTTGAGGCAAGCACCACGCCTTGCGTCCCTGTCGGCCTAGTCGTCCCTTTCCTTGAGGTAAAGCTGATCGGAGTTAAATCGGGGGACTCCGTAACATGCGCCTTCACTTTTTGAAGGTTGGTCAACTTAAAAGAGATCGCATTGATCATGAGCCCAGCGTAGGGCCGCTTATAGGACTGCCCTGCCCGCCGCCTGCGCCAGCGCGTCGCAACCCGCGTTCCGGTACCCCACAAGCGCGCACTCTTTGGCTAGCGGGCACAGCGTCCTGTGCATCGTGACCTTCACCAGGCTGGATCATGGCCTTCACCAGGCTGGCGGCGCAGGAGCAGCCTGCCGCCAGCGCCCCGTGAACCTCCAGCTCGTCGCTGACTGCGTCGCCCCGCTCCCCCCTCCGCGGCATCCTGTAGCTCGCGCACAGAAGGCGCATGAGCTCCCTGGGGATGGCCACCAGCTTCGTCTCCCGCTGGAGCGTGTGGTGTGAGACGGGCTCGTAGAACTTCGCCCAGTCCAGGAGGCCCGCCCCGCTCTAGGAGCCGGCCTTCCTCGCGTGGCACGCTACCAAGTTGGACACCATCCCCGCCACGTCGCCTGGCGTCGCCGCCGTGTCCCAGAAAAGCTCCTGGTCGGTGAACGCCGCCTCCCACTCCGCCACCAGGGGCTGCCCGATCCTGCCCCGTAGCCTCACCGCGAAGGCCAGCAGGTGGATGGGCCTGGGCCCGCGGTCGGGCTTCGGCAAGAACACCGTCGCCATGCTCCACAACGCCATGGGCCGCGCGTCCGCCTCCCGCACGTTGAGAATATCCGCCAGCCCGTCGCCGCAGCTGTCATGCAGCTGCTTGAGCACCCTCGGGTGCAGCCTGTCCCAACCCAAGCCCGTGTTCTTCTGGTACCTGTTGACCGCGTATCGCCCTGACCCTTTGGCTCTGTCCCCAGTCCTGCGGGCGCTGGTCCTGCCTCCTGGTCTCCTTTGCCCACAGCGGCAGCCACGCCGGCAGCGCCACCTCCAGCGCTGCGCGCCCGTCTGCGGCACCCCTCCACCCTGAGGTACTTGAACGCCGCCGCAGCTCCTGGCTCCTCGGTGGCTCGCTCAACCCACTTCCGCCAGCTCCAGATCGCATCCTTGGCATCTGCCTCCGTGCGCCTGGCCAGTTGCTCCTGCGCCGCCTCGATAGCTTCCATCTGCTCGTCCTTGCCCCAGCCATGCCAGCGCCTTAGCAGCACCCAGCTCCTCCCGCAAGCGGGCCTTTCTTGGGCCAAGCTGCCGCCTCCTCGTCCCTCCTCATGTCCTCCTCGACCTGCCGCAGCGCTCGGCGGCTCCTTGCGCAGTCCTTGCTGGTTGCACTCCTCCTCCTCACCAGCGCCGCCGCTCGCCCTGCCCAGCAGTTGTTCTTGTCGCTGTAGCGCCGCGTGAGACCTTTGTTCAACGCCACGCCCAGGTCGACCATGTGATGGCGTGGCCTCTGAGCCCTCCTGACCTTCGGCGCGCCGAGGTCGTGCAGCTCGTGCAGGTAACCCTCTAGCGCCGAGAACCACCCCCTGCGCGCCTCTCTGCGCTCGCTTCCTGCCGCTCGGTCCTCTCCATGTGGGGTCGCCTCGCTGGCGGGGGCATCTGCGTGTCGATCTTCCACGGCTCGCTGAAGACCTGCACCTGCGCCCTGTGCCCCATGCCCTCGAAGGTGACTGCCAAGGACCTGAGGGGGGGGGCTGCACGCTACCTCTGTGATCCCTTTCACCTCCACCACCAGCGGCGCCAGCACGTCAGACACCATGAAGTAGCTGCCTCCCCGGTGGTGCTGACCGCGCCCGCGTTCCTGTGTGGCCACTCCTGGAGGAGGCACGGGTCAATGTTCCAGTCGCCTCCCAATATCCCGGGCCTCCTCTGACCTCGGACCTGTCCTCCGATCTCCTCCAGTAGATGCAAGTTCCCTTCCAAGCCGACGCTTCGCTCGAGGTGCACTTACGCCGTGAGCATCTTCACTTGCACGCCCAGATCTACCTCTGCCGCCACCCACCTGTGGCTCCAATGCTTGAGCGTGCCAGCCTGCTTGTTGCCTCTCGCCTTCGTTATGAGCACCGCCGTGCCGCCGCTCGTCTCCAGGGCCCCTTGCCACGTGGACTCCGCCCTGCACATGGTGTATGCCACGCTCGCCTGCTTGCCCATGTGCTCGCTCTCCTCAGCGCCTGGTTGGTCGTGCCACGGTGCTCCTGCGGCAGCACGTTTTCTTGGCACCACGACGACGACGACGACGGACGACGACGACGACGACGACGACGACGACGACGGACGACGACGACGACGACGACGACGACGACGACGACGACGACGACCGACGACGACGACGACGACGACGACGACGACGACGACGACGACGACGGACGACAGTCAGTCCTCCAAGGCGGGCGGCGCGCCAGAGTTGGCCGCCGCCGCCGCCGAGGCCGCCGAGGAGGCCGGCGAGGCGGCCGCCGCCGTCGAGGAGCTGCGGCGGCTGCTGAGGCGCTCCGTCAGCGGGCGGCGTGATGGCGGTGGCGGACAGCGAATGCGGGCGGTGGGTGCGGCGGGGACGGTGACGCCTGTGCGCCGGCGGGCTGGGAAGGCGGCGACGGACTGTGCGCCCGAAGTGTTCGCAGTTCTTTCTTGCGGAAACATGGAGACGGCGAGTTTGGGGTCAATTTTCGTCCTCCCGGGGCCCTTATTCGACTCGGTTGAATTGTGTACGGAAAGAATGTGCACGACGACCGACAGCAGTTCTGGTCGAGGGCCTCTTATCGGGGACATGGTCATGACCACGAAACTATGTTCGCCACCGCCACTGCGTACAGCATAGCAGATATTTTTCGGGATAGTTTCACGAGCGTGAGACGTTCAACGCAATACGTGCACTACGTTGTGGGCGAAAGCCCCGCATGCCTCAGTCAACATGTGCGTTTCCCGGAATGTATTGGTGTTTTTTGGGGCAATGTTCTGCCTCCACGGGCTCTCGCCGGTCCAGGTTATTGTCAAAGAGCGGTTTATAGGATGAGCATTTTGCCCCTGAGGAGGCGTCCAGACCTCTGGGGATCCACGTCCTGAAACAAATCAAGACTTCGGGGGTCCGAGTAGTTTAGGTCGGAGGATCTGGAGCACGGTGCTCTCCACCCCGGCGTCGTCGGCACATCGCGGATGCATCGACGATGCGGTGCGATCCTCCGACCTCATCTGCTCGGACCCCAGGTGGGTGGCCTCTAAAGGACGAGGTCGCAGACCTGGCGGAGGAGCACTTCGAGGTTCGAGGTTTGCGGACCTTCTCGTCGGTTCGCGGGGGCTTCCCCAGCCTCGGGGCGCCTTCAGCAGCTCCGCCTCGCCGAGAGCCTTCCCCGCTGTCCCCGAATCGCCCCGAACGGCCACCGGAGGCCCGCCTTTCGGTGCGACACCTGGCCTATCGCTGTCTGTCCGATTGCTGCCTCCGGGAGCCGCTGTCTGGCCCCGAGGCCCTCGGCCCTCTCAGAGAATGTGCGTAACCATACTATGTTGGAGGTCCGCGCGGATCTCGCAGAGCCCCCTGCGTGGGTGCCCGCAGCCTGGGGTGTCCAGCGCCGGTCAAAGAAATGTGCGCGGACCTCCAACAGTTTCCTTTGTTGGTGATGTTCAGTTTCTGGACGATTGATTTTGCCCAGGGGTTGTCGTTCAGTGGTGCTTTGGGCGATGGTCAATACCTTGGGCCTCAAGCCTGCCCGCGATGCGCAGTCGTCGAGATGATTCATCGTCACCTCCGATATCTTCCCCAGCGGCGGAATGGACTTGCTCATAGCCTCCCCCCTAGCTTTCACATAAACACGCACGCGCACAAGAAGTATTGGTGTGCATACCCATATGTTTGCCAGCGTTGACCCCGAACAGTAGATTATAACTCCCTGGAATGATCGGCTAGGTGGTGCCATCCTTATGTAACTTTTTATATATACACATATATATACACATGTATATAGACACATATATATAGTCCATGATTCGTGTTAGCTATGTGGTAAACGTTAAGAGATGTAGGCTACAAGCTTTGTGGTGTAAACGAAGTTGTCTCAGGTATGAAGTGTCAGCAGCGTGGTGAACTACGTGTACGAGAGTTTGTGTACGCCATGTGGTGATAATTATACCGTTAAACACACATACGGTGCAAGCTAGGTCCTGTATGCTAGGTTGAGTCAGCTATGCCTCGTAAGCAAGCTGGTGCAAACGAGTATTCCAGTCCCATGCGTACAGGCACCGGTATGATAACATGCCTATCCGCATACAGGCATAGCGGTGCACATGTTTACACCACCCCACATGATTGGAATATGGTAGCCCTGTTCCTCCTTATCCTTCTCTTCGTGTGTGTGGGGGGGGGCGGCGCCGCACCCGCAGGCTGAGCGAGGCACGCGAGCGCCTGCTGGGCGAGGCCAGGCAGGGTGGGGACCTCTTGCCTCGGCGGCGTTGGTCCCAGGGCGGCGGACCTGTATCTTGCGGGAAAAGTTGCCCTGACCAGGGTTGGCCGAGAGGCTTGGCTTGGGGTTACTGGAGGGTATGTTGTTCTGGGCTGGAGGGTTGGCCAGGGTAGCTCTTCTATGTAGCCTTGTTCAGCACACACGGCACACCGGTCTTCGCCAGGCCGATCTTGGGCCCAAGTTTACCATGCCACGACCAGTGTCGGTGTACAGTTGGTGCGCTTTTGCTCGGACAGATACCGGTCAGATGCCGTGGGCGGGATTGCCATGATGCTTGGGGCATGGTTCCCCTATGTTCTTTAATTCAGTCTCGGCCCAATCCCCGCGGATTGAAACAAACGAGTAATTCGTCGGATGTCTGGGACTGGAGGGGGATGCCGGGTGACGCGGAATGAGTGAGAGGGAGGAGAATGAGGAGGAGGAGGAGGAGGAGGAGGCGGAGGAGGCGGACGACGACGACGGATAATGACGATGACGAGGACGAGGAGAGGGAAACACGCCACCCACCTCTGCCCTTTCTTGACGATTCAACCCATGGTGGGCAAAATCCTAAGCGAGCCTTTCTGCCCACTGCGAGGCACTTCCAACGAGAGAGGGAGGGGTGAAATGAAGGAACATGTGGAGGAGGAGGGGGAGTAGCATAAGGTACATGAGGAGGAAGGGACACATTGTTTCTAGCTCGATATCTCCAGCACTGTGGTGCTTGACTCTCATACCTGGATACCGGAGGAGTCGGAAAGGGGCTGGTCTTGTCGGCATCGGAAAAGGCTGGTCGAAGACAATCAAATTTGACGATTTCAACAGTGAGCTGATTTGCTGCTCTGCGAATTTATTTTCTGTGGCCACTGGGGGGCTGCTCCCTTCACCAAGGCTCCCGAGACGGCCCAGAGATCCCCCAAACGGCTTCCGACGGCGTCAGACGGGCCAGGAACCCACCAAGATGGCCGAAGTTGGCTCTAGGCTGGCCCGAGACTGCCCAAGAGGCCTCCAAGAGGACCTCCAGGAAGGCCAGAAGAGGCCAAACATATTCATTTTCTTCAGGTTTTTGAAGGGTGTTGACATTTGCTTCTCTTCGGCCTTCCCACGGCCCCATACGGCCCAAGAGCTCCCAAAGATCGCCCCAAGATCGCCCAAAAGGCCTCCAAGATGGCCCCAGAACGGCCAAAGAGGCGCGGCCCTAAGAAGTGGCACAGATGGCGCATTTGACGGGTTGAGGCTCCAGTCCGGCGCCGCGCATTTCGCTAACAGGTTTACCAGGTAGTTTGATGGACAGTTGTTGTGATCTCTTGCGCTCATGTCGGCTTCCCTGTGACACTCTCAGGCCATGTATATGCAAAGAAACGCTCAGGATGAAAAGACCTAGGGACAGAGTCTGGCAGCCTAGAAGGCTTCCAGGTCGGATAGTGGAGCAGATATGCTCAGATGCTGACCAGGTCTGCGCAGCTTCCGAACGAATTGGCGGGTTAGCATTGCAGCAGCGGGAGATGCAGTCAGGTCAACGACATAAGGAACAGTTCGTTTTCGGAAGGAGTTCGTTTTTCGTCAGTTCCTTCACGGTTGTTCCTCTAGCGCTCCTCGCATACCCAGGCGGTGTGACGGCCAGAGCGGGTGTTCGGTACTTGTTTGTTTGTCGCTCTGGTCGTGTGGCAGTAGCGCGACTGCAGACTCTCGACGCCTCACGTATCCGCAACAGCCCGTTCAAAAATTCTTCCCAGGCGGGCTGTCGCGAAGCGCTCCCCGGTGGGGAGGCACGGTTCAGCGGAACAGGCGGGGTGGCCAAACCAAAAAGCGTGGATCAGCGATCAGCCCAAGCAGCCCAACCCGCTTCTGTACTGTTGGCGAGGCGCCCCGCCGCGTGGCCTGTTGTCGCCCGTAGCAGACACTGTGACGGCCCTGGTCCGACAAGCGCATGCGGTAACAACGCCACGGACGGATCCCTCGAGCCTTGGTGGCATGGCCAGGGCCAAGCGGGCCTCGTCCTCGTTCTCCCCCTCTTTCTCCATTCCTTGCTGCTCCGGATCCTGCGAGAGGCGATTGGGGCCCAACGTGGCCCCAGCTTTCCTGGGAGGCCCAGATGGTATCTAGTAGAGCACCACTTGAAAGTTCCAGAGACTCCCAGATCGTTCGAAAAGCTACGGGCAACATTGGGCCAGGGCCACCTCCAGGGCCGCCGCAGCCCCTTTTGGCTCACGTCCTCTAATTAGATCAGGGCTCTAGAGACGCACCTCCCGGCAAGACCACAAGCACCGATAGCTGGCGCGAGCGCCCGCCGAATATTTGAGGATGACTGTCGCTGCCGCGGGCAACGACTACACGGTCCTGCTCCAGCGCAACGGCACGGCGTTGGCGTACGGTCTGAACTCCAGCGGGCAGTGCGACCTCCCAATTCTTCCCGAGGGCGTGGCGTACACGCACGTTGCAGCAGGCCGGAGTCATACAGTTCTGCTCAGAAGCGACAGCGTCGCGGTGGCTTGTGGCTCCAACAGTCATGGGCAAGGCGATTTCCCGGCGTTGGGCGGAGGGGGGGGTTACTTGCAGGTCGCCGCAGGATGGATTCATACAGTTCTGATCGTGAGTGATGGCTCAGCTGTCGCCTGCGGCAGCAACTCATTTGGGCAGTGCCGTGTTCCTGTACTGGATGGGGGCAGGGTTTACACTCGAGTTGCCGCAGGAAGGGATCATACGGTTCTGCTTAGAAGTGATGGCACGGTTGTGGCCTGTGGTAGCAATTCGTGTGGTCAGTGCAACATTCCAGCACTGCAGCGGGGCAGGACTTACACGCAAATTGCTGCAGGATGGGATTTTACAATTCTACTTGTCAGTGATGGCGCCGTTGTAACCTGCGGTAATAACTCTTATGGTCAATGTGACATTCCGCCTCTGGTTGGCGACTTCACTTATGAACAAGTTGTCGCAGGAGCTCAGCATACTGTCTTGCTCAGAAGCAACCGCACAGCTGTGGCTTGTGGTGCAAACGACCATGGCCAATGCGACCTTCCAGACTTGGACGACCACATGCTGTACGCACGCGTGGTTGCAGGAAGACGGCATACCGTTCTGATTCAAGGGAATGGTGTTGTGGTTGCTTGTGGCTACAACCGAGATGCAGCATGTTCTGTTGATCCCAACGTTCGGGTTCAAGGACTGCAGCCTGAACTGATATTGCAATCCTGGTGTGACGGTGACTCTATCCATTTTGTTTACTTGAGCGGGGCTGAGATTTGGCAGGCCAAGGCCAAGTCCGAGCTTCGTCTTCAAGAGCTTCTCGGTCAATTGATGCGTCTTTGTCCTGCAGCCCAGGCAGGGCCAGACTTCTCCAGGCTGGATGTAGTCATGCCGGGAGGCAAGCTGCTCAGTGATTGGTTGTCCGAAGATTTTAAAGCGATCTTGATCGACGCGCTCCGCTATGCTGCCGCGGTCGACTCTGCCATTTGGGTTGGCGCTGCTGGGGTCTAAGACGCTGGCGTCTGATGGAATCCTGCCGTTACGGCAGCCTTTTGGTTTTTGCATTGAGCCTTGCTGCCAAGGCAGGCGATGTTTGCTGGATTCGACGCCAATGTGGACGAACGAAGCACGCGCGAGGCGTTAGGTAATTCATCTGATCAGGCGGTATGGGGGGCAGGAGCGCGCGAACGAGGGGGACGAGGCGGAGGAGGAAAGGGAGGAGACTCGGGGGGTGGGCGGGAGGCGGAAGGAGGTAGGATGCTGGCGAGGGGAAGGAATGGGAGGCGGACGAGGGACCAGGAGGACGATGGGAGGCTGACTTGGAGCCTCCCGGGCTGCTCTGTAGCTGTGGACATGGAGAATGGCTGCGGGAGCCCGCGCTGGCGCGCGTGCGGGCGGAGGGCGGGCGGGCGGGCGGGCGAGCAGGCGAGCGCGCGGGCGGGCGAGCGGACCCTCCTCCCCCTCCCCCTCCCCCTCCTCCTCCTCCTCCCTCCTCCTCCTCCTCCTCCTCCTCCTCCTCCTCCTCCTCCTCCCTCCTCCTCCTCCTCCTCCTCCTCCTCCTCCTCCTCCCTCCTCCTCCCTCCTCCTCCCTCCTCCTCCTTCTCCGGGCGAGCAGACGGCCTGGCGGGCGGGTGTGAGCGGGGAAGGGGGGGCAGCCGCACGGTTTGGCGGGGGAGGGGGCGGCTGGGGGCGGGTGAGCGGGGCGGCTGACATCTGCATTGACATGGTCTTGCTTGGTCATCGAATCGGTCTTACCATAAACGCTGGTCATCCAATCAGACGATACTTCTTCGTCGCAGCGCTTGCGGACGCACAGCGCGGTCGGACCCTACGCGGTGGACTTGCAAGGCGAATTGAACACAAGCGGACTTACGCAGAGACAGGCACTGCCGTAATTCGCTCCGTTGTGAGCTCCGACGGGGGCATTTTTACATGGATCGGGAAATGATATGGCGTGAGAGGGACAGGAGAATGACATTCGAGACCGAGGACGATCAATCCGGGAATTACGCTGCGCTGGAGACTGATTTTTTTAGGATCGGGCGACAACCCAGGTTATCGGGCTTGCCCACCCTTCCCCCCCCCAAGGATAACCTAACCTTGCCGTATGTGCAGGTCGGAGGGAGGGAGGGAGGGCGCGGGCATATGCAGGGCTGCCCACAGCGCGAGGGTTAGGAGGTTATCGGACGGCCCCCTCCTCCCCCCCCCCGGGATAACCCGGGTTACCGCCGATTCAAAAAAACGGCGTCCTGGTGCCGATCGACAAGACGTGCCCTGCGCAGCGTCCTTTTTCGTGAATCGCGTGTCATCGGGCCGACGGTCTATCTCTTTTCGGTGACCGTTTGTCCTCGCCGACCGCCGCACAATCTGCATCGCGAGTCTTCAGACTGGCAACGTGCAGGATAGCGCGAAGGACGAGGCGGGCTGGGCAATGCTAAAATCAGTTCCACTTTACCTTGCCCCGCTCTGCTCTGCTCCTCTCCGCTATACGCTGAACTCAGCCTCGTCGGGTCGACCTGACCGCCCAGCAGCAGGCAGCACACGATGACGCTGGCGCAGAACCGGAGCCAGAAAAACGCGCCCGGCCCTCTCCCTCGCCGACCTTCCTGTCCGTGCACCGCGGGCACGGTGGGCCTTGCCTTGGCGCTCCTTCTCTGCCAGCGCTCTGCTCTGCGGCGCACTCGGGGAGGGGAGGCGGCAGGGAGGGGGGCAGGGGGGGGGGAAGAGCGCCGGAAGGCTCACAGACGCGCACCCCGCAGCGCGGACTGCGCTCACCCAAAAGAGGGGCCGCCTGCCCAGGACGTGAGCGGCCGATTGATCCCAGGTGCGCGGGGGCCTCCGGCGTGAGGCAGCCGGTGAGCCCTCTCGCGCCGCAGGCCCTCTCTCTCTCTCTCTGCGGATCGCGGGGGCCGGGCCTCCCAGGGAGACCGAGCTCAGAAACGACGGCCTTCCAGATGTGTTCCGGGCGCTGAATGCCATCAGGGGCAACGTTGGGGATAATTAGGCTCAGGGGGAGAGGGATCGACCCCCAGCCACCCAGTCATCGCCGACATGGGCCCGCCCGCGCGCATTCGGATTGGACGGGAGACCATTGCCGATCTATCCTGGATGTATCGCCGATTCTGGGTCGATGCTCTCCCTCCTGAGCCAGTCCCCTCTTGCCGTTCCCCCTCATCTCGGGGCCCCAGCAAGTATCCGGGACGTTGCAGCCCGAGATTCTGTCAGATGCAGCGGAAGAAGCGGAGGTTCGCGAAGCGCCCATGCCCTGGTTTAGTAAAGTCCCCATTGCAGGGCCATGATGATGGCCGGCGCTTGACGACAAGACGTGCGTTATTAGCCCAAGGTGTACTCACCCCGTTCAGTTCTGCCGATGGCACGCAGCCCCTGTCGGCCCTCATGTCGCCGACTGTCGTGCTGGAGGGCTTCGGTGGACAAGCACGTGTTGGCTGGAGGAGGACCAGTTGAGAAAAAACAGCGGCTCTGTAGCCCACCCAATCCGCTCATAATCGCCCCCCTGTGTTTTTGAGGCGGATCCCGCGCGTTTGCATGCCCCGCGTACGCCGCCGCGGATCGCCACCGCGGGCGGCGCGGTAGCTTCGCCACGTAGTGCACTGCGTCTTGTGTGTTCGCCCTCCTCTTCACTGACCTACGTCTCTGGAGGCACGCCGCAAGCCAATCCAGCATCCAGCAGCAGCATTCTTCTCCCCCTCCTCCTTGTCCCTCTCCCCCTCTTCTTCAGCTCACTCCCCCAGTCCCCTGGGCCGCCTGGTCGCCCTCCAAGGGCCCAGCCGCTTGGCGGTTTTCGCATCGCTGCATCTGTGCATCCTCCCTGGAGCTGCCGCGAACGACGACGACGACGACAACGACGACGACGACGACGGCGACGGCGACGGCGACGGCGACGGCGACGGCGACGGCGACGGCGACGGCGACGGCGACGGCGACGACGACGACGACGACGACAAAGATGCTGATGACGCCCACGCCCACGCCCACACCCACGCCCACGCCCACGCCACCGCCACTGACGACGCCGCCGACGACGACGGCGACGGCGATGACGACAGCGACGGCGACGGCGACGTCGACGACGGCGACGACGACGCCGACGACGACTCGGCCCAGGAGGAGCGGCAGGCGGCCCAGGACCTCGAGGCCGAGGAGGCCGAGTGCGAAGCGCAGGTGGGGGGGCGGGGGCCGCCTGCGTCTCTCAGGAGAAGCGTGGGATTAATTACGGCAGGCTCGCGCCGAGCTGACGCGGCGGCGACCCCAGCGTTGGCTTTTAGGTTCAACGCCGCCAGCGGCCCAGAATGGCCTGGCCTCGTCCTGCTCCTATGCAGTTCCCCCTCTCCTCCTCCTCCTCTTCCTCCTCCTCCTGTTCCCCTCCTCCTCGTTCCCCCTCCTGCTCCCCGACGTCCTCCGCCTCCTGCTCCACAACGTCCTTGTCCTGCTCGTCGTCTCCGTCTGCAGGGTCGGCGTCTGCAGGGTCGACGTCGAGCGCCCTGCGCCGTCGGAAGGCCGCGATCGTCCGAGCTCGAACGATCCACGTCAACGCGACGCGAACCTGCCGCAGGGCGCGGGGGACTGGTGTCTGGGGCATCGCTTCCGTAAAGCATCGGCGCGCTCCGTGGTTAGATCGGGCGGCATCGGCCTCACGTTTCGGGCCGTCGGGGGGGGGGCATCCTCCAATCGGTGGATGCGGCTCCCACGCGCCGGATCCACGGATCCCACTTCCATGCGAGCGGCGAGCGTGCGCCCGACTTTCCTTGTCCTCCGCGGGCGGCCCAGTCTGTGCACAATCTGCCTCCAGCGCGCCGTTAGGGATTTGGGCGTAGCCGGCGGTCGACGAGCTGCAAGGGTGGGGCACGCGTAGAGTAGGAGTGACCGCCCTGTGGGCGACCAGATTGGTGCTCGCTTTGCCTCCAACACGCCGGTGGGGGGTAGCCAACGGTCGACGAGCTGCAAGCCCAGACCCGCTCGCGTCGGGACAGAATCACGGCGGGAGGTTTTCGGCAATTTTCGGCCTCCAAGGGGGCGGGAAGCAGCGCCGAGGACTGGACCCCGCTGCCTACAGCCCGAGACTCCGAGGAGGGAGGGGAGGAGGCGGAGGGGGAGGCCCCGGAGGCCCGAGGTTCCGAGGTGGGGGCGGCGGTGTTTGGAGGGTGGGGCGGTGCGGGAGGGTGATGTGCCGGAGGGGGAAGACGGCAGAGGACGGAGGAGGTGGAGGATGGATGAGGTTGGCAGAAGAGGGAGGAGGAGGAGGAGGAGGAGGAGGAGGAGGAGCAGAAGAAGAGAGGAGGAGAGAGGGGGATGACTGAGGAGGCGGAGGAGCAGGAAGTGGTAGAGAAGAGGAGGAGGAGGAGGAGGAGGAGGAGGACGGCAATCTCCTTCCTCGCCCCCGCCCTCGAGCGAAGGCCGAGGGTGCCTCGCCTCCCCTCCTCCCTCTCTGCGACCCCTCACCCATCAGGCGCGGCTGCTCAAGCTGCTCGAGGAGCAGCGAGCCGCCGACGGCGACCCCGACGAGGCGCGCCCCGCAGCCGCCGCCGAGGACGACGATCGGAGCGAGGATCGAGGATCGAGGTTCGATCGAGGTTTGAGGATCGAGTTTCGCTGACGGGTCGGGATTCGATCCAACGCGAGAATATTGAAGCACCAATTGTAAGTCCATGATTTGTGATTCTTCAGGCCAGCCTGGAGGGCCTCCTGGAGCCCTCTTTGGTGGGACGGTTGCCTCTTGGGCCGTCTCAGGGCAATTTTGGGCAGTCTTCGAGGTACTGGACCAGCTCAGGCAGCTCAGAGCATCGTGAGGCCATCTTGGATCCTTTTAGTTGTCTCGGCGCCGTCTGGAGGCCAGGCAGAGCGCCGATAAGCACCCCCTGGAGGAGAGTTCTCGGGGCGCTTGCTGAATGGAGGTGGGGTCGGCCCTTGAGAATACTGAGGAGACCATACCGGACAGCATTCTAGCACGGCCCAGCATGCACAGGGCACGGTGACAGAAGCTCCTCATTGGACCGCCCCCTTCCTCTTTTGCACCCTCCCCCGAATGGCCCCGTTCGACAGGGAGGGGGAACGAGTCCGACGTGCCCGGGAACGCGGCCCCCTCTGGGAGGACGACCCGAGCGCCGCCACCGCCCTCCTGGAGTTGCTGCAGGAAGAGCTGACGGCGGAGCAGCAGGAGCTGTCGGCGCAGGACCCGCCCCAGCTTCACAATGGGCAAAGCAAGGCAAATCAAAACAACGCAATGCAATGCAATGCGACTGCAATGCAAAACAATCCATCGGCGACGAGGCGGCGACGAGGCGGCCAGACCGGCACCGGGGTCCAGTCACGAGCGGCGATGGCGTTTGCGACGAGCGGCGACGAGCCAGCCGGAACAGTACTTACAGGGGCCCAGCTACCAGCGGCGGCGACGAGCCAGCCGGAGCAGCCTCGGAGCTCAGCTTCTTTGGGGGAAGACGAGCAGGAAGCCCTGAGCAAATTTTGCCCTCAGATGTCAGCGTGTTCCCGGCGCGCCATGGTGTGACGATGGGAGTATTCGGCCCCCTCGCGCACAGCACTCAGCAGGTCGGACACAGCTCCAGGGACGGCAGTAATTGGAGACCTCGAAGCAACGCGTGCCTGACAGGGAGCCCATCATCCCTCATCTGGATCTCCGACCGACCCCCCATCACCTAAACTCGGGCCAGGAGGGCGGAGGAAGGAAGGAGGGGGGAGCAGGACGAGCAGGAGGATGGAGGAGCAGAGGGGAGGGAGGGAGGAGGGAGGGAAAAGGCTGGAGGGAGGAGGGAGGGATGGGGAAGGGGGGGCGGGAGGAAGGAACCCGAGGAGGAGAGATGAGCACGAGGATCCCCCCCCTGGTCCTTCGCACCGCCCCTGCCCAAAGGAGGCGGCGGCCCTGGAGCGGCGGGGCAGGGCCCGCGAAGAGCAGCGGGAGGCACGGCCAGGGGGGTCTCCTGTTTCTCCTCCGTTTTTTTTTGTTGTTCTCCTCCACTCTCTCCTCCGTCTTCCTTCCCCCCCTTCCCTTCTCCATTTCCTCTCCCCCTTCCTTTCCTTCTCCGTTTTCTCTCCTCCTCCTCCATCTCCTCTCCTCCCCCTGCTCCATTTCCTTCTCCCCCTCCTCCACTTCCTTCTCCTCCGTCTTCTCTTCGAGCCCCAAGCGCCGGAAGAAGAAGGCGCGACTGCGTTGCGGCTGCCCGTGGCGAGGACGCTGCAAGCAACGCCGTAGTGTGGGCCCATCCACAGAGGGTGCCCCCCCCCGGGGCAGTGCGCCGCAGCCGCCGACGCGCCGCCCGCCGGTTCCGCCTGCCACCTGCCGCCAGGCCGAGGTGGCCAGCTGGGCGGTCCAGCTCCAGCCGCACGGGCCCCGGTGGTGCCTCCCGTGGCCGGGGGTCCCGAGTAAGGACCGAGAGATGGTGCGAGGCAGCTCCAGGGCGACAGACCCCGTGCGTGTGAGAGAGACGGACAGCGGCAGCCTCAACGGAGACAGACAAGCTCGTGCGAGAAGGACGGGCAGTGGCAGCCGTGCGTGAAGAACGGGCAATGGCAGCTACGCCAACACGGGCACTGGACTTGCGAGAAGGACGGGCAGTGGCGGTTTCGAGAGGGTGTTGGCTCTACGCGCGAGAAGGACGGACAGCGGCAGCCAGCGTGCGAAAAGGACAGGCGTTGGCAGCTTTGAGTGGACGGGCAGTGGCAACTTCAAGAATACGGACACTGTACGTGCGTGAAGGACGGGCAGTTGTAGCTTCAGAGGGGCCACGGCAGTGCGCGCGAGAGAGACGGACAGTGGCAGACCCCAGCGGACGGGCATTGGTAGCTTCATGCAGACGGGCAGTGGCAGTTACAAGTTGACGGGCGGTACCAGCCTGAAGCGGACGAGCAGTGGCAGCTTCCAAAGGGCAGAAAACCGTGCCCGCGAGGAACACGGGCGGTGGCAGATGCCAGCGGGCGGGTAATGGCAGCCCCAAGCTGACAAACCTTGCGCGGGCGCTGGTAACTGCGAGCGGACGGGCAGGGGCAGCTTCAGGCTGACGGACCTTGTGCGCGCGAGAAGGACGGGCAGCGGCCGCGCCCAGCGGACAGGAAATGGCTGCCTCAAGAGAACAGAGACCGTGCGTGCGAGAAACACAGGTAATAGCAGCTTCCAACGGACGGGCAGCGCTCGACGCCACAGCCCCAGCTCGGCGAGCCCAAACGTGTGACACCCTTGCTCCTTTTCAGCGCAGCCGAGCATTGGCAGCCCCAAGCAGACGTGCAGTGGCATGAGTCGTTTCCTCCCTTTTGTGAAGGCCAGATAGCCAGGGTTTAGTAGCCTGGCTCGACATCTTCTGGCAAATACACCCACCGTGCTTGAAGCCAGACACAGTGTCAAGAGGAAGCTCAGAGAGCGCTTTACACGTGGTGTTTTCCCTACGTCGGAAACAAAGGTGTCGTTCGTGTCAACGTCGGCCTGCCCCGCGTCACGCTGGAGACGGAACGGACCACAGGCGCCTGCAGCCCTTAAGGCAGGCGCGTCCCCGGGCAAGAGACACCCCACCATAATGGGTGCACTCGGCCCGTGGGGGTGGGCACATAATTCAAAGATGTTTGTGCCCTTGTTACAGTGTTTCGGCAAGTTGTATTCGCTGTCACATTCCCCATATTCCATTTACTTGCTTGTACTTTGTTGCATCGTTTCGATAATGCTGTATTCAGTGTTGTAAAGGCGGTTGTCTCTCATCAAGCGATTTGGTCAATCATCAGGCAAACTTCTGGTTATCAGCCGAAAGTCTCTCCCAGAGCTCGTCTCCGGCGGTGCAGCATTTTTCCCACCAGCCAGAGTAGTAGCAGTGGTCGCTTTACCAAAGAGGGGGATTCGCACGTGCGCTCTGATTGTGGTGCCCGAAAACCGGGATACGAAGTCGGCTCCGCCTTCCCGTGCTCCAGTCAGTGCTCTGGTCGCGGGGACGGCGGGTCGGACATTCAAGGAAAAAGGGGGCACCTGCGGCCAAGCCGCCAGGTGTCGGCGATGTCACGAAAGAGGGGGCAGTCGTTTCCTCCCTTTTGTGAAGGCCAGATAGTCAGGTTTTAGTAGCACGGCTCGACATCTTCTGGCAAATACAACTACCGTGCTTGAAGCCAGACACAGTGTCAAGAGGAAGCTCAGAGAGCGCTTTACACGTGGTGTTTTCCCTAAGTCGGAAACAAAGGTGTCGTTCGTGTCAACGTCGGCCTGCCCCGCGTCACGCTGGAGACGGAACGGACCACGGGCGCCTGCAGCCCTTAAGGCAAGCGCGTCCCCGGGCAAGAGACACCCCACCATAATGGGTGCACTCGGCCCGTGGGGGTGGGCACATAATTCAAAGATGTTTGTGCCCTTGTTACAATGCTTCGACAAGTAGTATTCGCTGTCCCTTTTTCCATATTCCATTCACTTGCTTGTCCTTTGTTGCGTTGTTTCGATAATATTGTATTCAGCGTTGCAAAGGCGGTTGTCTCTCATCAAGCGATTTGGTCAATCATCAGGCAAACTTCTGCATGTCCAGGCTGACTGACCAGGTGCGTGCGCGAAGGGCGGGATGCGGCAGCTTCAAGCGTGCGAGAAGGACGGGCAGTGGCAGCCCCATGCATGCGTGAAGAACGGGCAGTGACCGCTTCAAGATGACCAGGACTGTGGGCGCGGAAAGGACGGGCAGTGGCAGTTCCAAGCAGGCGGGCAGTGGCAGCTTGAAGAAGCAGGACCCTGTGCGCGCGAGAAAGACGGTCAGTGGCTGCTTCAATATGGCCACGGCCGTGCGCGCGAAAAGGACGGGCAGCGGCAGCCTCAAGAAGATCGAGTCGGTGGGTGCGAGAAGGACGGGCCGTGGCAGCGCCGAGCGGCCACTTCGTGTAAGAAAGACGGGCAGGACGCGAACCTGGAGCCCAGCTGCTCGAACCTACTTGCACACGCAACGCAGGTGCCCGAGACCATCTGCGACAACAGCGGTGGCGCCAGCTTGGTGACCCCTTCGTTCGAGAAGGACGGGCAGGGGAAGCAGCTGGATGGGGTCCGAGCCGTGCGTGTGCTCATGACGGGCAGTGGCTGCTCCATGCTGAAGGGCGTGAGAAGGACGGGCAGAGGCAGCAGGAGGCGAAGCATGAGCCAGGCGACGCCAGCTTCAGCGCGCTGGGCGTAGTGCGGACGACCCACGCGAGAAGGATGAAACGCCAGAGGCGAAACTGGAGCCCAGCTACACCACCTGCAATCTTATCAGCTACAGTTTCGACGTCACAGAACACGGGGCCCCTCCCAGAGGTGGACCCCCAAGAAGGTGGACCAACAAGATCTCCATTCAGACGGCAGGAAATGCGGCGCCTTCACCATCCAGGGATCCAATGCGAAGTTTTCCGGACCGTCCAGGGCAGACTTCGACAAGATGATTTTGATGACGGCGGGGGCGGGAACCACACGCGTCATCATCATCAAGACCCGGCGCGCGTGAGCACGACGGTTCTGCGCGATTCCGCCAGACGTTCACGGAGAAGGGGCAGGCCTCAGGGCCGTGGCCTCTGAGGGAAGCACCGCGGCCCCGGGGGCTGCCAACTTGCAGCGCGCGTGGTGCCAATTTTGTTTGCAAAATCCCCACTCCTCGATCCTCCTCGTTGCCGCCATCCCCCTCCCAGCCCCCATTTTCCATCTGTTGTTTTTCTATAGAAATGTGTCGGTGCCCCCAGACGTGTCGGTAGGGCGGGCCGGGTGAGTCGCCTGAGATTTGTTCACTATTAATTTGCCCTTCACGCAAACGCTCTCGCCCGCACACAGACACACACACACATGTTTCGTGCGTCGGCGCGTATCAGCTTTCGCGCACAGGGATGTTCACACATGTTCGAAAATTGTCATAGATCCAGTGCGTTCTCCTTGTACCAGTTGAACATAGGATCGCCTGGAAGCGTGAACCGCCGTGTCGTGTGGTCTGAGTGTGCAGCGCGGGGTGGGCACGAACTAAAGCGACCTCGCACTCTTGCGCGCCCCCCGCTTGTGCGCGTTACTTTTTGGGCGTTCGACCGAAGCTGGTGACGCGCCGCGCCACCAGCTTGCTGGGCAAACCAGTGGGGTCGCTCGCCCACCTTCCTTCGGGAAAGCGGGAAAGGGCCAGTCCTGATACCGGCGGCCCTCCTTGGCGTTTTTCTTGCCCTGTTTGGGCCTCTCGGAGGTTTCTTGTCCCTATGGCTGGGCCCTCCCTGGCGTTGTTGTTGTTGCCCTTCTGGGCATCCAGTAGGCGCCTCGCCGCCCCGTATGGGTCTGCGTCGGAAAGCAAGTTCGGATGGACCCGGCAGGGGTCGGGGGAGGGATTTCGAGCCGATGTTGGGGAGCGTGGGAGCGGACAGCCGCCGTTGTTTCAGCTGGCCCTGTCCCGATGCACGGCCCACGCCTGTGGGGGCCGAGTCGGGGGCCTGGTGTTCCCCAATGCTGAAAATCCTCCGCTGCGTCAGGGGAGGGCGATGTGCGGAGGGGATCGGGAACTGCAGGAACGAGGCCCTGAACGGACCCTTGAGGGACCCTCTTAGGGCCCCCCAGGGTGCACGGAAGGTGCACATGTCTTGCCCCCCCGTGTATTGCCCCCGCACAATTGAGCAACGTCCGAGGGCAGGCAGAATCCGATGTTTAGCTTCGCAAAGGTCGAAAGGGGCGTGGGGGGAGACGTCGTTGCTGCTCGCTCTTGCCCTCGAGCGGACGAGCACACGAGCACGATTGCCATAGATCGTTGTGCGATCCCTCTGCCTCGCAGCGCCCCCCCCCCCCGCGCGGAGATCGATGAGATCCATGCGGAGATCGCCGAGACCTCGGAAGCCAACGACTGGCTCATGTCGGAGCTCGATGCGTTGCCCCAGCCCTCGTGTCTCTGGGGCAGGCCCCGTCCAGAAAAGAGGGCCCGGCAGGAGGAGAGAGCAGAGGATTCGTATCCTAGTGCAGTTTATAGCATATCGATTGATGCGACGCAGACGGAGGAGGAGGAGGAGGAGGAGGAGGAGGAGGAGGAGGAGGGGGAGGATTGGCAGGGTGGATGGGGGCCATACGTATAAAGGGGGATTGAGGAGGAGAAGGAGGAAGGAGGGAGGGAGGGCATGATGATCAAGCGGGGGGGGTTGGACCGGATGAGGAGGAGAATGAGGAAGACGATTGGGCTGAGGATTAGGTGCGAAGGAGTGGAAGCGTGGTGGGTGGGCGGTTCTGAATGAGAAACAGAGGATGAATGGGGAGGGTGGGCAGGTGCAAGAAAGAGTAAAGAGCAGGCATGGAATGTGGAAGAGGACGAAGACGAGGTACAGTCGGGTTCACCTGGCCGCCTTCGGTCTCACCTGGCCGCCACAGCTTCGAGTGTTCTCACAGTGCGATCGCCTCCCCAATCTCCAAACCTATCCCCCCCCCACGTCTATACCACCGTCCCCCCTATCTTTCTCTCTTTCTGTCTGTCTTTGCTGGCTCTGTCTCGGAAGCCTCGCGAAGGCCTGTGGTCGTGGCCCTGTGGGCGTGGTGTGGTGGAGGAAACAGGAGCACCCCCCCGCCCTCCCCCTGTGGGTGTGGGGTGGTTCGTCGGCGTCGGCGTCGGCGTCGTGGAACCCCGGGGCCCATCCCATCTGGAGGGGGAGGGGGGTGGGCGAGTTTGGTAAGAACGATTTGTCCAGTCGGGTCACCAGATGCCCCGCCATGCCTCCCCCTCCTCCCCATCCACGACCTCGCCCTCCGACGACCCTCTTCCCGTCCATGCCTCCCCGTAAGACACGCACGGAATCGGCGCGGGCACCGCGCGTGCACCCCGACGGCACAGCACCCTCCGGAGGACGGCCCCCCCTCCGAGAGTCGTCCCCGCGCGCGGGCGGCGCCGACGGTCCAGGGCCCGGCTCGATCCGCTCGATCGGTCTGTTCTGGTTCGATGTCGATGCTGGGCCGTTTTGAGGGCCTCTTTGGGCCGTCACGGCGCCGCAGAGGCCTCCTGGGCGATCTTGAGGCGAATCTGGAGACCTTATGGGCCGTCTTTGGCTCTCTGAAGGCCACAGGGGGGCGAACCTCAATGTTGCAAATACCTCAGGGAGCTCCATGGTTCTAGCTCCTGCGGGCATTCCTGCACGACCCGTTGTGGAGGCCTTTTGAGCCGTCCTTGTTATCTCGGGGCCAACTTAGGCCGTCTTGGAGACATTTTGTGACCACGTTGGGCTCTCTTGTGGCGATCTTGGCCGTCTTGGACGCCATCTTGAGCGTCTTGGGAGCCATATGGGAACTTGGAGGTTCTTTGGGCCGTCATGGGGCCATCTTGGAAAATCAGCACATGCCAAATCCTTCAAACAACTTAGGAACAACAATGCATATGGCCTCTTCAGGCCTTCTGAAGTACCTCTTTGAGGCCTCTTGAGCCATCTTGAGGTCATCTTTGGCCGTCTTGTTCCATTTCGCGGCACACCCCTTACGCGTTTCGTGGCCCCACAGGGAGCTCCACCGAAGGCGCCAGTGGCTGCGTTCGCCTGCGCCCACCCACCGCACCCATTTCGGCACACCCATCACACGTTTCGCGGCCCCATAGGGAGCGTCACCGACGGCCCCAATGGCTGCGTTCGCACGCGCCCACCGCACCTATGTCGGGACACCTCTCACGCGTTTCGTGGCCTCATCGGGAATTCCACCGACGGCCCCAGTGGCTGTTTTTGCGCCCACCGGACAATTTTTGGCACACCCATCACACGTTTCGTGGCCTTGTAGGGAGCTTTTCCGAATGCGTTACATACAACGACGGTGATCACAACTGCATATGGTTGGGTCCTTCGCCAGGCTAATTTCAAACTTACCACCTGCTTATTGTTGCACAACAGATCAATCAGAGAGCCCCATGGCGGCCCAAGGTGGCCCAAAAGACACCCTCCGAAGCAATCCAAATCGTGACCCAGTCGTTCAGGGAGACCGCGGTTGGAGGCAGGGTGGCCCGAGGACGCCACCAGAGGCCCCCAGAATACGCCCAGGAGGCCTCCAGAAGGCTTTAAGAAAGCCTGAAACAACTTTTGTGAGGCCCCCAGAGGCTCTCCAAAGAGGAGCCTCCGCAAAAGAGCTGAGGAGGATGGGGGGAGTATGGCGAAAATAAAGAAAAACATGGAGGAAGGATAACGAAAAACATTGTGATACCGGCGATGCCGGAAAAAGGCAACAAGGAATTATCGCTAAATTGTCGGCTTGACCTTCCTGCTATTCCGCATGCGTGCCAAACTTCAAAGCGAAGCGCCACTGCAGTCTTGTATATATATATATATATATATATATATATATAGACAGATAGATACACACGCCTCCCCCCACCCCCCCTGGGCCCCGACCCCCACTTCTGGGACAACTTTCGGACAATCCCCGGTACCGCCCCCCCAGGGCTCCCAGGGAAGCCCCCACGCTCCAGGACGGCCAAAGATGCCCCCAAATAGCCCCCAGAACGCAAAATAATAGTACAAGAAAGTCTTCCGACGGCTTTCCAGGCTCTCAGGATCGCCGAAAAATTAACCAGAAGGCCTCTAAGAGACCCCAAGAGACGTCCGAGAGGCGTCCCGAGAGGGCCCGAAGAGCCCAACATCGTTGACTTTCATACAAGCTTCCTAAAAACGAACCTAAATCAATCGGGTCCACAAGTGTCGAAGATCAATGCTCGTCGCTTACCACGTGGGGCGGCAGCTACGCAAGTTTGGAAGCGTATGTCTCGTCTCTATCATTGTGTTGGTGTTCTTGGGTACTTTCGGGCGTCTCTATTTTTCAGAAGCAGAAGGAAGACGTTACCACTGAGGAGCGCGCACTTGTCGTTACTTCGAACGACATCGCCACCAACGCCGAACCCGACGCTTGGTAAACCCGATTGTAGGTCCCAACCGCTTGAGGCCGCCCTCCACCAAACATAGTTGCAACGCCTGCTTTTATCTTCCTTCCGACGGCTACCTCGCCTTCCGCTGACCATGGGGTCAACTTCGACTCTTGCCCCTTCCAGCCCATGATTCCCCCCTCATGGCATCTTCTCTTCCTTGTTCTCCTCCATGCAGGGCCGCGTCCATTTGGGGCCCCAAAGTGCAATCCAAGCCACATATCAGCACCGGACAAATTCTTGTTCTTTTGATTTGATTTTAGAGAAGCCTCCCATCGATCTCCCACTGGACGATAGTGCAGACATCATTGCACCACCTACGCATGTCCTTGCGACTGGACCGGGCAAATATACAGCCAGTTGTAAGTGACCGATGTCTACGACGATTCGGGCGGGGCTGGTCTGGGCTGGTGGGGTGGGCTGGGGGGTGTTTGGGGGCGGAGGTGGTGGAGGGCGAAGCACAAGCGCTCTCATGAGCACAAGCTTCTGGTGATCGCGCGGGAGGCCCTCGCGCAGACGTTCCCCCTTCGGCCAGCGCCCTGGCTAGTTCCCAACCATCCTGTGGTGTTGGGTCCTCGTTTTGAAGAGACAGCGCCCCGCGTCCCACCTCCTTCCTCCTCCTCCTCCTCCACCTCCCTCCTTCCTCCCTCCTCCTTCTTCCTCTCCTCCTCCTCCCTCCTCCCCAATCCTTGCCTTTGCTCTCCGCATGTCTCAGCTCACCCCCTCCTCCCATCATCATCATCATCATCATCATCATCATCATCAGCAGCAGCATCAGCATCAGCATCATCATCATCATCATCAGCATCATCATCATCATCCGTAGCCATTTTGGCTTAAGTTGGAACCATTGCTCCGTGGCTCCAGCTTGGGAGCAGCCAAGGAGCAGATCGATGGTTTTCGGCAGACAGGCTGCCTGCGGCTCTCCTTCTCCCTTTCCCACAGAGTGCATTCCCCTTCGGCCCTTCTCCCTTCGCAGCCGCGATGGCGGTCGATATGTCCGCGATCCAGGCCACGCTCGATGCCCAGCTTGTGAAGATCGAGAAAACCATAGATGATAAACTCGAGGCGAAGGTCTCGGGATTAGCGGCCACTGTTGGAGTCCAAGGTCAGATGCGGAAAGAGATCACCGACCGCTTAGAGAAGTCAGAGACCCGTCTCAATGCCATGGAACAGATGGCTCAGGTGAACTCCCGTCTGCCTCCTTTTGTCAACAGTCAGGGAGGTAAGCGCCGCGCAGTTGACAGCTCTGCCGGGGACGGGTCCACTACGGGAGGGAGTGCGGGAGGAGGATCGTCGCTTGAGGATGCCCACCGCCTTCTCATCCTTGGGTTGGAGGATCGGTTGATGGCCACCACTCTCGAGAGGGTTGCGAAGGACATTATCTCTAAGTGTGCGACCGTGCAGGCAGCAAGTCTCATTCGGATTCGGGCCTATGATCTCCAGAAGAAAGTTACCCTGGATTTCCCGACCCCGGCCATGGCTTCGGACTTCAGATGAATTTCAGGAAGCTGAGTGAGAGCTACAGCATGGTTAACCCACGTAATCAGCAGGATGTTTGCCCCCTTCGTGTGTGTCGTAACTTGTCTCCTCCACATCGGCTTCTCTTCTTCAAGATGGGGAAAGTACGGGGTGCGGTTCAGGAAGAGCTCTCAAAGGTTGGTTTGCAGGCCAATTCGAATGGGATCGGTGGTGATGTCTTCGGCCTTCGCTCGCGGGAAGACCCTGTTCCTCTCTTTCGCCTCACCTGCTGCCCCCAGAACTCTGATGCGATCCACATTCGCCCTGACGATGCAGGCTTTAACGCTCTTGGACTGAACGCTCCTGAGATCCGTGAGAAATTCGAGGCTGCGTTTGCCTCTGAGCCCACGCGTCCCTTTTGAAGATGAATCGGATAGGATAGGCCGCCCTGGGGACCAAATGTTTCCGTCTCTCCCAGGGGCCTCTCTGAACGTTTTGGCGGGTGCCCTCCGCGAACGAGAAGGGAGGATCGAGTTTAATATTTCCTCCAGTTTTGTTGCCAGTAGCTCGAGCAGTTCCGACTCCGCCTCGAGCTCTTCTTCGCCCAGTGGGGGTCTGCCCGCTGTCACGTCGCTTCCCTTTTCCCCTCCCCCTTCATGCTCTCTGTCTCTGCTCGCTTGGAACTCTAGGGGACTCTTCGCTTCCATTCACCACTCCTCTCTCCGGGCCACACGACGGTGCAGGCAGCTTCTGGGATTGTCTCGGCGTTCCAGTATTCTGTGTGTTCAAGGGGCCCACGGCACGGCTGGCGATGCAGCGGCGCTCCAGTCGGATCTGCGAGGTTGGTCGATTGGATTCTCAGGACATGCCTCGGACATTGCCGGTGGTGTTCCCACGCTGATCTCTCCTGCTCTCCGCTCTTTCTTCACGGGCATTCGGCGCTACAGTATTGATGAGGGTCGCATCCTGGTCTCTAAATGCCACGGCCGACGGGGTGCTCTCTGGATTCTGAACGTTCACCTGCCAACCTCGGGGGAACCTATTTGGGCATTTCGGCGGTCTCTGAGGCTTATTCCGAATGCTTTGGGGGCTCCTGATGCATTGGTTATTATTGGTGGGGACTTCAATTTTGCTCTGGAGGAGGATGGCCGTCAGTGTGGGGGTGGATCGGGGTGGAGGCCTGGGGATCGTTATCGGCACGATACGTTCCATACGTTCTTCCCACGGTGGACTGAGGTCTACCAGCCTGAACCGACCCGTCGGGAGATTGTCAGTGGGGAAATCTGCCATGTGAGCCGTCTTGGCCGTCTTTATCTTGCCTCTCCCACTGCCGTGCTTTCTGATCTCTCTATCACGTGCTCGGTTCTTGGCAAAGCCACGACCACTCAGAATGTCTCTGACCATATTCCAGTTTCGGCCACGTTTCGGAGATACCAGCCATCTGAGAATCCGCCCATCCCTTCCTGGGTCGGGAAACACCCTCGGTTTCACATTGAGCTTTACATTCTTCTGAGTGAATTGGATCGGACTGCGCCCATTAACGATCATATTGCCCTGGTCAAGAGGTGTATGTTTGAGGCTTCCAAGCGGACACGTGACTTCCTCTCCCATCAAGTTGCTCGGACCGCAGATGGGAAGATTCACTTTTCTTTGGCTGCGTTGAGGGGTCTACGTGCACGGCATACACAGCGTGTCTCTTCTGCCATCTCTTGCTACCCCCACCTGTCCCGCTTCTTCGACCTCGACCCTCTCACCTGTCGTAATCTTCCTGCGCTATGTGATCACATCCAGCTGCTTCAGAACCTTCGGTTGACTGAGCTTGAGCAGGAAGCCGGCAAAGAGGCAGATTCGGAGATTAAGGCTCGGATGCGTTCTAGGTTGCAAAGGCGTCGTGAGCTCTGGAGGCCTCTTCAGAAACGGATCTCTCTTGGGACTATCCTGGGCCCTGGTGGCGCCCCGTGCAGCGCCATTGATGAGGCGGGGGAGGAGCTGGCTCGGCACTGGGAAACTGTCTTTGATGAGTTCGATTGCGACATGTCTCTCTGGCCAGATCTTGAAGCCCACATCTCTCCTGTCCATTCCCTTCCTGATGATCAGTGGCGTCTAGACTTTGAGGACTTTGAGAAATTGGTTAGGGGGCGACGCGACTCGATGTCAGGGCCAGATGGGATTGTCCACTCGTGCTGGAAGTCTCCTCTCCCGATTGCGATCCTGTATGACCTCTACTGCCACCTGTTTGACAACCGTGCCAGTGACATGCCTCAAGCTATGCGGGAAATGCTCCTTGTCTTCTTAGCCAAGGGTGAGAATCCGACGGACCTTACTGCCTGTCCTTCTCGCGCTCCTGATGCCTGCCGTCCTCTTGCGATGGCCAATACTGACTGTAAGATAATGTCTGTGGCGTTCGCCTCCCAACTGGAGAAGGAAGCCCGCGAAAGTGTTCACGAGGTTCAGGCCTGTATCCGAGGGCGCTCCATGACTGACCATATTTTTGAAGCTGAGGTTTGGGGAGTTCAGCAGTGCATGTTGGGGAGGGACCTGTCTTGCATGTTTCTGACCGGCTTTGCTGCTGCGTTCCGAGCATTGCGATTTCTTGGCTTCTTCGGGTGCTGGTCCTGATGCAAGTTCATCCTAGAGTGGTGGGTTTCTTTGAGGCGCTGTATTTCGGGCTTCGTGATGTGAACGTGGAACTACCGATTCTTCTCCCGTTGCTTCAGCGTCTGCATCCTGGGATCGGGCTCGCTCTGAACCTGGAGAAATTTGTCCTGATTCACTGTGGCCTGAGTCTCTCTCCGTGGACGACTCGGCTGATTCGCAGGTTACTCGCTAGTCTAGGGAATGGGGCCGATGCAATTGGCTTGGTTCGGCATGCTCGGTATCTGGGGATTCAGATCGGTCCTGAAGGTTGGCGGCACGCCTGGAACACTGCCCTGCAGAAGTATCATCAGCGTTGCATTGAGATTCGGAGGCTTCGGGTTGGGCTCGCTATGACCATTAGGACGCGTGCGATATTTGCCGTCTCGGTACTCAGGTTCGCGATGCAGTTCTATCCCCCATCGGCTGCTGTCTTGAAATGCGAAGGGAACATGCAACAAAAGCTTATGGCGGGTCCTCGGTTTGCCTTCAACAGACTGATGTGTACCAGGACCTGGATGCGCGACCTCGGCCTATCGTTGGAGTTCCCTGATCTGGCGCAGACTGGCATTGCTACACAGGTTCGTCTTGCCCACAACAGTGCTGCATTCCCGAAGATCCGTGGTCTGATTCTTGGTCTTTCCCAGGAAGACGAATTGCACCCTGCTCGGATGCGGCGCCCGTGGTGGCAGCACGCGTTCTGTCGGTCTCTCATTGACACGTGGAATGAGCACATCCATCTGCGCACTGGCTTCCTTCAGGCTTCGGGGTTTCAAAAGAAGCTCACGCGAATCCTTCGGGCCCGCGCTCCTCCGATCTCTCCTATCCGCTGTCTCCACGCCCGGGTGGTCCGATGGGTCCCTGGGGTCTCTGTCGCCCAGGTCTCGGCTGCTGTTCAGGTTGTCCGCAAGGTATGCAAGGAAAGTTCTCTCTACCTGGGACTCGCTGTCTCACGTGTCCTGGCCAGGGGTGTCTGCACCAGTGCCAGATTTCATCGTGGGCCTGAAGGATGCTGCGGGAACTGTGGAGCCCCTGGGGCCAATGACTCAATGGGGCACTATGCCGTATGTCCTGAATTTCGACGCCTGAGTTTAGCTCCCGCCCCCTGCCTCCAGCCTTTTTTTAGCGAAGAGTCCTGGTTCCGACGTTTAACTTTAATCGCCCCCCCCCCCCCCGTTCTTTGAGCAGCGTTTAATGTGTGCGAGCCTTCTGGACGGATTCATTTTCGCCCAGGCCAGTTTTCGTGAGGGGGCAAGGCAGCCGCCGAAGGATTTTCCCAAAGGCCGCATTCGCTTGCGCACCCTGCGGCATCCGGAGGTTGCCCGTGCCTGGGCTGCGTCTTCCTGTTAGCTGTCTCATATAACCTTTGCCCCCCTGGGGCCAGCGGCCCACCGCCCTTCTCGGGGCCAGCGGAGTTTTATGCTGTACATGTGCCTTTCTGCCGTCTCGGTGCTGCTCTCTTCATCGTGCCCCTCTGGGGGCAGCGGACTTTGCATCGCTCTCTGCTGAAGCCCTTGTTGGGGTTCCCCGACAGCCGCTCTCTGTGCTCCTCTCGGGGTCCTACGCTCGGCCCGGCGTTTCCCATTCAGTGCTTCTGACGGCGTCCACTGGCTGTTGCAAGTGGCAAGCCTTGCTTCAGCTGCATTGGCCGCCGATAACTCTTCTTTATTTTTGTTGCCGCCAGGTTCCCGATGAAGTACCGCAAGGCCCCGCGTGCTCTCTTGAGAGAGATTTTGATTGGGCAGGGTCCGTTTTCCTTGGTCGTCGCCTGGCCACGGGTTTAGCTTCTGATCGACCCTCCCCCTCTCTCAGGGTATGCACTCTTTGGGCTTTTAATTTATTTTGTTGTGTTAATTTTATTTCTTGGTTTTCATTTCTTACTGGGCCTAACTTTTTGCAGAGCGACCTTTAAGGCGCCCAACCTCTGAGTTGGTTCGGCTTCGAATGCGCCCGTTGCCAGGACTGGACTCACTGCACCGATTGTCATCCCTCATTGCCATCGGTCCCGTTGGAAAAAATCATCATCATCATCATCATCATCAAGCCGTAGCCATTTTGGCTCAAGGCCGACAGGAGGCGCGCATTCGTTTGTTTGTTTTTCTGCTCCCTGGGTGCGCCACAACCTCGAGTTGCGCACATGCCCACGTAGTATCGTATGGTCGGCAAGCATTCTCTCCCCAAGCTCCACGAGCGGCGCGAGCGCGCAGCCCTGCGAGGCTTCCTCGCGCCACGACCTCGCAGTGACCAGGTCTTCATCGCGGCCCGTGCCGACTTTGCCGACAGGGCGAAGGCTCAAGCCAAGTCAATGCAGCTGCATTTCGATCACTCGCGCATCGCCGGTGCCCCCTTCCACTTCGCGAAGCAGGCGGCGCACGCCGCGCGGCCTCACCTGCCACCTCATGTATTCCGGGAAGCTCTACGTTGTCGTCGTCAAGGAGATCGCGCGCGGCACAACTGGGCCAGCCGCACCTGCTTACCAGTGTTTGAAGAGCGTGCTGCACTGCCGTCGTGTTCTCGGGTTCCTGTTCGCCCTGAAGATCAACGGCTATGTCATGCCCTTCCTGTGGTGGCGCCAGTTCGCCCTGGAGAGACCAACTTTGTCCTGCCCTGCCTGTGGTGCCGCCATTTCCCCGCATCTCACTGGCGTGTACGCTCACTCCAACTCGCTGGCCATGCCCAACAGCCTCGTGGCCTTCCGGCTTTCCGGCACGGCGGGTTTTTCGTGAACCTCAGCGGGTTGAATCACTGGCGCCAGCGGTCAACACGCAGGAGATCGTCACTGTGGACAACGTGGAGCGCATGCTTAGCCAAGCCATGAGCGAAGTCCTCAAGACTTTGAACATCATGTCCGCAGGCCATGATCGCGGTGAGGTCGGCGCTCACGCTCGGCCTCAAGATGATGCTGGAGACGCTGCTGCAGTGAGTGAATGCCCTGAGCCGCCATGTGCTGCTGATTTCGTTGCTGACGCACTCGCCTCCTCTTGGCTCTCGCTTCCCTCCCATTGCTGGGATCGCGTGTATGGTAGATTTCCAGCTTTCTATAAGTGTCGCGTTCGTTGTGCTTGAGCGCGCGCCGTCTCTATTGCAGCGGAGATTGCACATAATAAGTTTCTTGATTATTACGCTTCATGCGTCGACGCAGTTGGACACTTTGCGGTTGATCGGGAAGGGCGCCCATGTAGAATTTATAGCATTGATGTGCATCATGCTACTGCGTCCGTGCACTTCGCGGACGAAGCCTCTTCCATAACGGCCGACATTAGTAAATTATTCGCACTGCCACATCCTGAATTGGCCGTTTGCCCAGAATGTAGGACTGGAGACCCCTGGCGCCTAGACTGGGAATGCCCGTGCTGTCACACGGCCATGACCGCGCAAGAAACCACCGCAACCGGAAGTTATGGATGTTTCTTTAAACTGATTTTTTGTTGGTTGTTCTGTTGTCGCGGTTACTGTTGGCGCGTGCTTCGATTTCACATGTATCGCGTTCTCGTGAGGTTGCTTCATTGCCACTTGCAGAGCGTCTCCCGCAGACCTTCCCTTCGACGTGCTGGCGCGAGACCGAGTGGCGTGCCTGCGCGGCGCGGCCTGTTTCACACGACGCGCGTGCGCGAAGTTCAGAGGAGTTTACATTCGTAGCCGCCTGATTGTTGCGGCACCGCGCCATATTTTTTGCGCGGCGCGTAACGCTCTTTTCGGATGCCATTTGCGCGTGTTTTGCATGGGCGGATCGCCTTGGCGCAGCGATGCTTCGCGCGGCGTGGTTCGGCCGCTTTTGCGCGATGATGCGCCCGTGTGCGTGTGTGTTGTCAGAGCGGCTCTGCGTGACGGCGTGTCCAGTAGCGATTACCATGCCGTTAAGTTTGTTCCTCGTGGGCACGCGGCCCCCCGCCCCTTTTCCCTTCTTCGCGGCACGCCAAATTGTTGGAGTGTCTATAAGTTTGTTTCGTTGGGCGCTTGCGCATTTTTTTCGCGAGCATTGTTCATTTGTTGCCCACCTTTCGCGCGACCTCTTCTGGTTGCTTTCCCCCTCGCCCACTCGCATTATGTTTTGTAGTGTTTTATTGCGCACATCTCAAAGTGGAGGGCCCGGTCCGCTCGTGGAGGGCGCGACATTGTTGACAAATCATACGCGTCGCGCGGTTGTGGTAGAAACCACGGCGCGTGCGTCATGCCGATCTGTTCGCGGCAAGTCCCGCGCCCCGCGACCGCGCAACACTCGGCATGGCGAGTCTTCGAGCACCGCCACGAAAGCCATAACGCGCGACACGTCGTCGCCCATAGTCTCGCAAGGGCCGCAACATGTGACGCGCTCTTCCGCGCCGCTTCGGGGCGCACACCTTCGTCTACGTCGTCGCCCTCCCCCTTCCCACGCCCCCCATGTTGTCACCCTCCCTTCTTCCATTTCGTTCTCCTTGTCTCATTATTGCGTCTCCTGGGGTTCTCACGTGGCACACATGGACAACATGTGGTATGTCATGGGTTACTGTCGGGTTGTCATGGGGGCCTCCTGGGACACTCTTGAGTCGTATATGGGGCTACCTGGGACATTAGGGGCCCTCTTGGGCCGTCGTGAGTTGCCCGGGGGGTATCTTGGTGCTTTTTGGGCCGCGTTCGCCTCCATGCTGGTTTTCTTGCTTTGCCTGGGTTGGGTCTTCAGTTACCCCCAACCCCACTAGGTCTGGTACCAGACCTCCCGTCCACCTCCAACAGGTCTGGTGGGATGCCCCCCTTCCACGTCGACCAGACCTCCCAGCGGGCCCTCCTCCGGCGAGGTGGATGGGGGCCTCCACCAGACTTCCTCTGGTTCTCCTGGAGACCTCCCCCTGATCCCCCCGAGGGCTTGGGGAGGCCTTCCGGAGGCTTCCCTTGGTTTCCACAAGGTGTGGCGAGAGGCTTCCCACGGCCCCGAGCACCAGGCGAGGCCTCCCCCAGGCTTCCGGGACGACCAGGGGAGGTCTCTGGGAGGCTTCCCCTGGTTCACCTGGAAGCCTCCGATGAGAGTTCCCGCAGGGGGGGGGTCTCCTGTGGGAGGCTTTCGGGAGGGCCAGGGGAAGCTTCCAGGAGACCTCACCTGGTCCTCCACCAAGTTTCCCCCCAGCGCCCCGGGAGGGCCAGGGGGGGTTTCCAGGGGGCCTCCCCTGGTCTCCCCGGAAGTTTCCCCTTGGAGGGAGCCCTGCCAGATTTCGAGGTCTGGGGGAGGCTCCCGGACCCTGGTCCTCGGGGAGGATTCCCAGCAGGCTTGCAAGGACCAGAAGAAGCTTCTGGGAGACCTCCCAGCCCCCTTCTGGAAGTTTGCGGGAAGCCCCCAAGAGGACCAGGGGAGGTCCCCCCGCGGTCTCCCCCCAGATTCCAGGAGGTCGTCAGGACACCGCTAGGAGGCTTACTCTTCGGGGCCCTGAGGCCAGTGGATCACCGGATGCAGTGCAGCTACGGTGGCGACGGCAGCAGAGTCGCGTTCAGCCTCGGCGAAACATTTGCCGCGCGTTTCCAAGCTGGGTGGCTGGTTGGGGGCCTCCGACGGCCACGCCGGGACGTTTGAACTTTGGGTCTTTCCGCTCCAAGAAAACATGGTGGACGTAAGGAAACTTCTGGTTCCTTAATAAATGCCCCCCGGGGGGCCTCGATGGTCCCAAAGTGCGAGACATCTGTCGATCCACCAAATTTAATAAGGAATTCCCGGGGGCCCAAGTAAGGTCCTTACTTGGGTGCCTGGCGGTCCCAGAATTCAGGGCCTTACTTGGGTCCTCGGCGGTCACAGGTCCCACAGGTTCCACAGGTCCCACGTGTCCCAGATGTCCCACAGGTCCCATAGGTCCCACGGGTCCCGCAGGTCTCGAAGGTCTCGCCGGCCCCGTAGGTCCCGCAGGTCCCGCAGGTCCCACAGGCCGCACAGGTGCCACAGGTGCCACAGGTCCCGGAGGTCCCGCAGGTCCCGCAGGTCCCACAGGTCCCACAGGTCCCTCAGGCCCAACAGATCCCACCGGTCCCAAGGTCTTGCAGGTGTCACAGGTCCCGCAGGTCCCACAGGTCCCACAGGTCCTACAGGTCTTACAGGTCCCACAGGACCCACAAGTCGCAAAGAAGGTGCCAAAGGTCCCACAGGTCTCGCAGGTCCTACAGGTCCCACACGTCCCACAGGTCCCAAGGGTCCCACAGGCCTCGCGGGCCCCACAGGTCCCACAGGCCCCACAGGTCCCACATGTTTCACATGTCCCATAGGTTCCACAGGTTCCGCAGGTCCCGCGTGTCGCGCAGGTCTCGCAGGTCCCGCAGGCCCCGCAGGCCCCGCAGGTCCCGCAGGTCCCACTGGGTCCCACAGGTCCCACAGGTCCTACAGGTCCCACAAGCCCCACAGGTCCCGCAGGCCCCACAGGATCCACAGGGTCCGTAGGTCCCACAGGTCTCGCAGGTCGCGCAGGACCCGCCAGTCCCGCATACTCCATAGGCCCCGCAGGCCCCGCAGGTCCCACAGGTCCCACATGCAGGTCCCGCACGTCCCACAGGTTCCGCAGGCCCCACGGGTCTTACAGGTTTTAAAGGTCTCGCAGGTCCCGCATGTCCCGCAATTCCCACAGGTCCCGTAGGTCCCAGAGGACCCATAGGTCCAACAGGTCCCACAGGACCCGCAGGTCCCGCAGGTCCGCAGGTGCCACAGGTCCCACAGGTATGAATGACCCCACAGGTTTCACAGGTTCTCGCAGGTCCACCGGTCGCACATGTCCCGCAGGTCCCGCAGCTCTCACAGGTCCCACAGGTTCCGCAGGTCTCCCGGGTCCCTCAGGCCCCACAGGTCCCACAGGCCCCCCGGGTCCCACAGGTCCCGCAGGTCCGACAGGTCCCGCCGCCAGCGCAGGTCCCACGAGTCCCACAAGTCCCGCAGGTCGCGCAGGTCCCACAAATCCCGCAGGCCCAGCATATCCCACATGTCCCACAAGTCCCACATGCCCCACATGTCCCACAGGTCCTACAAGTCCCGCAAGCCCCGCAGGCCTCGTAGGTCTGGCAAGTCCCGCAGGCCCCGCAAGTCCCAGTCCCCCCAGGTCCCACATGCCCCGAAGGCCCCACAGGTCCCACAGGCCCGATAGGGCTTACAGGTCCTACAAGGGCCACGGGGTCCGCAGGTCCCGCAGGTTCCGCAGGACCCGCAGGTCCCACAGGTTTCGCAGGTCGCGCAGGTCCCGCATGTCCCACACGTCCCACAGGCGACGCATGCCCCACAGGCCCCTCAGGCCCTACAGGTCCCACAGGCCCCACAGGTCCACCCAGCCCCTCCGGTCCCACAGGTCCCACAGGTCCCACATGTCGCGCCGGTCCCGCAGGCCCCGCAAGTTCCGCAGGTCCCACGGGGCCTACAGGTGCCACAGGCGCCACAGGTCCCACTGGTATCGCAGGTCCTGCAGGTCCCACAGGTCCTACGAGTCCCTCAGGTCCTACAGGTCCGACAGGTCAGGCAGGTGTCGCAGGTGGCGCAAGCCCCGCAGGTCCCACAGGTCCCACAGGTCTCGCAGGGACGACAAGTTTTGCAATTTCGAAGGCCCCACAGGTCCCACCAGGCCCACGCGTCCCACAGGTCCCAAGGGTCCCACAGGTCTCGCAGGTCCCTCAGGTCCCACAGCTACCGCAGCCCGCACAGCTCCCACAAGTTCCACAGGGCTCACGCTCCCAACATTTCTCCCAATTCCGGCAGGTTCCACAGGTCCCGCAGGTCCCACAGGTCACCTTTGGTGTTATTAAGATGGTTCCTGGGGTGATGTTTGCAAGGCGAAGGCGCGTGTAATTGCATGCGCTGCGCGCAGTGCAGAGTGAACCGTGAGTGCAAGTGCGAAACGCTGCCATGTAAATTTGGGATTGCGCCCGTCCTGGAATCTTTTTGTAAACTTGCGGTTGCGGTGGTTTCCATCGTGGTCAGGCCAGTGTTCG